TGTACCTTCTGACCTAAAACAAAACAAAACAAAAAACCCTTAACCAAATGACTTCTGTGGTACATGCCTCTCTTGCCATGACACATCGGCATCTGCTCATATGACCCCCCAGGGCTCATAATGTTGGGCTCCTAAGTAATAGCTGGGGTTGGCCCTTATGAACTCCATTGGTGAGACATTCCAACTGACTTTTAAGTAGTGAGACAAGGAAAGAAATGTTCAGAGTCTCAGAACATCCACTGCAACTTCTTTTTGACTCTCTTTTCCTCTCAATGAGGTCAGTTCAAGGGCAAACTTGGAATGGAATTGACCAAACCTTGCCTTCACTGCTAAGAAAACATTCATCATATACTCCAAGATACACACCTCCCTTTGCTTTGTAATTGATACGTTGGCGAAAATGTGGGCTTTGTGAATCCAGTTATATTTTACCTACACAGAGACAGGGAAGCTCTCATGTACAGTGTTTCCTAGTCATCTTAAGTCTTTATTACCCTCTAGTTTAGATGTAAGGAACCACCACACATGCACATGCTAAGATCCAATGGGAGTCCATGTGAAACGGGGGCAAATGAGTGGCCTCTACCTCTCCCAATACAAAGCCAGTGAGTTGGGAGTGATGTATAAAAAGGTGAGATGGAATTGCAGAGGAAAAAGTTACGGCTTTACACACGTCATGAAATATACAGTCTTCCCTCTACTCTGCCAAGGGAAATGTGTGAGTCTAATACAGAATCATTTTGGGAGGGGGTTGTTCAAACTTTTAACTGTTTGAACACAACTCTGCTTTTGTGCTACAAATATTTCCTAGGTTTATGCTTTAATACTTTGCAATTTTATAATAAACTTTGAGAAACTGAGACACTTAAGAATTCTCTGGACTGGGAAAGAAATGCCTTAAGTGAAAAGGAGCAATTCCTTGGACTAGTGCTGTGCAGTGCATTTCTTCTACCCCAGGCTGTGGCTGAGAGGGGGAGATCCGTGGGCACAGGGACCAGCAACAGAGAGACTGTCTGAGTCTAAGTCTGGCTCCCCCGAGTATTCCCACACTGCATGTCCCTGCCTGCCCCCATTACTTCTAGTTCTATGGGCATCACGATTTGGAGTTAAGTAAATTAAAGTGGACATTCCCAGGTTGAGTGCTGTGAGGCACGCTTGTGACCCCAACACTCAAGAGGTGGAGGTAGTCAGACTGCAGTTGAGTTCAGGGCCAGCTGAGAACTTATCCCTCGAATCAAAACTGAACATAATAAAATTAAAAAAAAAAACATAGTACATTTACAACATAGGTATTTGCAATGACCAAACAAAGAAACATGGAAATGCTGAACTCTAAAGAAACAGGAAGCCAACAAGGAATCGAACTTTAATCACATTGCTTGGTGTCTCCAGAGCTCCAAAGGTGCTAGGCTTACTATCTAAACTCTCTTCCATCTATTCTTCAGAAAAGATCTGAATTCTCAGAGCGAAGGTTTGAACATAGAAACTCAGGTGGGGGAAGCAGCTCGATGGTAGAACACTTGATTAGCATCTTTAGAGCCCTGGGTTCAATCCACAGTAGCACAGAAACAAGAATAGACTAGGACCAATTCACATCTTTTGTCTGGTTGTCTGATTGAGGAATGACTAATGGGTACATTCTGACTTTAGCTGCTCCCTTTCTAGCACTGGAACCCTCTTTCAAGTAAAGTCCTGCAACTGTGTAAGACTTGTGTCAACTTGCTAAGCAATGGCAGTCCCACTTGTTTTCTAGGAGGTGGTTTTTGCTGTTTCTTTATTTGAGACAGGGTGTTATCACGTAGCCCTGGCTGGCCTGGAACTCCCTATATAGACCAGGCTGGTTTTGAAATTCCACCTCCTGAGTTCTGGGATGTTAGCTGTGTACCACAGTGCCCAGCTCATCTACAGTTTTGGAAGATTTATTTATTTTATTTATAATTTATGTATACATGTGTGTGTGGTGTGTGAGTCTATGTGCACCGTGTGTGCAGGTGCCTGAAGAGGCTAAAAGAGTTTCTAATCCCCCGCAACTGGAATTATAGACAGTTATGAGCCGTCACGTGGGTATTGGGAATCCTGGTCCTTTGCAAGAGCCATTAAGAGCTCTTAACTGCTGAGCCATTGTCTAGCCTTGCACTTGTCATCTATTTTATAGTCCAATTTTCCTTGTAGAATATAAGAAACAGGAGGGCAGCTTTATCCACTTGTAACCACTACCATCCTTCATAGAGCCTCCAGAAATGTCCTTCTGTAAGGAGATGAATAAATGAGTGAGTACCACAGAGGCAAAGGTGGGCCAGCACTTCCTTATGAAGCTGCTGGAATGTGGGTCTGGAGGTTTTACACATTATAGCTAAAGGAGGCATATGAAGGGGAAGGCAGAATGTTATAGACACCGGGGCAACAAGTGACTAATACAATGAAAGTTCTCATTCCTTTGACCAGGGGTTGTTGGCAAACTTCTGTAACAGCCATGGAGTAAATGTTTTCAGCTTTGTAGCCTATGGTTCTGGTACAGTTACCAGATTCTATGTCTGTGGAGTACAAATAATCATCAGTATCAGTAAATGGGCTTTGGCCTGTCTGTGCGTCTCCCTATAAGGTAATGTACAAACAATAAAACCTGAGTTTCATGCGATTTCCACCTCTCATGAAACATCTCTCTTTTCTCCCCCAACCACTTACAACCCTTCTCAAACTATGAGGTCGTGCTTGATATCTACAGTTTGCTAACTCTGAACAAGCTCCATGCATCAGTTACATCGGCTCTAAGCTGAGAAGAAATGGGACCTGCAGAACTGTCAAGCATCTTTCCCCTGACAGCAACTCTCAAGCAGAAGACTACAGCAGCCCAGGTGGCCACACAACTTCGCTGACTTCCAGGCAGATCATCTTTGTCTTTTATCACCCCCTGAAAAACCTGCCTTCGGTTTGATCAAGGCTGAAGGCTGAGGTCTCAGATCGAATGAAACCTGCAAACAGTTCAGTATTCCTCTTAGGCATTTGTAGTCCTAGGCCACACCCACCGAAAATCATCATGGGAGCTGCCAGGACATAATAGCCTGGCTGACCAAAGGCTCGCTCTGCCCATTCTCCTGACTGTCTCCACAGAGAATGAGAAATAGCTGATAAGGTAGATTTTTGGTTCCCTAGTAATTAACAGTGGCCCACGATCAACCATGCAGACAGACAGGAAGACCTACCTGGGCAGACTGTTGCAACTCCGACAACTTATTTATGCCTGTCACAGGAATTTAATCTCATAGCGAATAAGTCAATCTAGAGACATGAATCATTTGGAAAATACCAGCACCAGTAAATATATAGACCTGCAGGCAGTAAGAGTTAAAAATCCTATTTGGTGGAATCCACTTTAGCCAGGTCTGAGTTTTAAATAAATGTGGAGAGAGGGTTAATGCTCCTCAATTCACTTCCCTTCTCTATAGAGATGCTCAAGTTAAACATGCTTTCAAAGACTGATTTTATGGCATACTCTAAGCTTGCACAAATATCTCACCATTTCCAGTACGTTTATATTTGCTGTCTGAATGCAAAATATTAACGAGTTCAGGAAAATAACTTATGAGGAAAAAGTATTCTACCAAAACTGTAGTTTGTCATATAAGATGATAACTAATTCTTTGAAAAAAAAATCCTTTCTATCCTGAAAAGTCACAACAAAAGTTTAAGTGTGTTTGGGCTGATTTTTCTCTGCAACTATTTGAAGCTGTAAATGACTTAACTCAGTAAAACTCCAAATGTAATTATCTTCTGTACTTAGCCTAGGGCTCTCCATATATCTCAGCGTTGCTGCCTTGCATACAAAATAGGCTTTTCCATGGCTGGTACCAATATAATGTACAACATTGTTTTAATTTCCCCTCATCGGCTAACCTCTTGCCTACACTGAACCAGCCAGAGGAAGAAGCGTCCGTGAGTCATCAGCCACTCCAAAGCATTCTGGAACTCAGTTGCATAAATGGGGTTTGTAGGGTCAGGCTTTTGCAACTGTACATTTTAATAATCTCCATTTCTGACCCAATTTTTACTTTCAGAAACTAATTTTCGATTAATTACACCAAGAAGGAGATTACTGTTAAAATATGGAGGTGCATCCACAAGTTCTACCCATAAGTCGAACTGGAATTTAAAAAAAAAAAAACAAAAAAAAAACAAAAAAACTCCCCAGTGCCCTCAAAGGGGATTCTCCAGGAAAACTGCACACATTTACTTTTCAGTCATAAAACACATTCACATAGCCCAGAGCATTTGCAAATGCCTTGTTGCAGATACAGTAAACATGCATACATCTTCTATGCATTATATATTAATACATATGTGTGTCTGTACTTGAAACACATAGTGAACTCAAATTATGCTCTGTGATAAGGGGGGGGGGGACCAATGCCAAATAGGGACTGAATTCTCATATAGCTTCTACTGTGGTCTGGGAACACACATGTGTTTGCGTGTTCACTCACCCATCTTGATCTCACACACTCATCCTCTGTCCATTCGTGATCAGGGTCTCCCAGTCTCACTCCCCCTAGCTCCACTTTCGGGGTGTATGGTAACAATGGATTACCAGAAAGTGTGAAGGACAAGGACGAGAGATGACAGAAAAAGCAAGAGCGAGAAGGTGACAGAGAGACAAAAGGAGATGAAAAGATTGAGGGGGGAGGAAGGGAGGGTGGAAGGAAGGAAGAGGAGGGAGGAAGGAAAGGAGGAAGGGGAGGTGGGGGGGGCAACTGACATTTGGCAGCACACACAATGCTGCTTAGGATCTAGAAAGGTTTGAGCACCAGTCCCAAAGAGGGCACCTAGGCTGAGCGTCCCCAGATAATAATTAAAAAAAACAGAAGGCAATAATAAGATCAAATGGACAACAGACTGTGGAGTTTCCATTAGAGAATGAGCACACAGGAAGTCATTACAGAACACGGTAGAGATGTGGGAGCTGAGGAATACTGAAGTAATATTAGAAATAAACGTGGCTTTACCTGTAGCTCTAACTGCTGTACAACCTGCATTTGTACTCTACATTGAGCTGTGCTTCTATCGTCCAGCGCATGCTCACTGTTGAGATGTCTGCAACAATACATAGAAAACCAGTAAGTGAAATGGAGAAACAAAAAGGAAAATACAAGTTACCAGGATGTTTACGCACGAGTGGTGGGCTTAGCTGAGGGGAAACACGAGTGGAGGAGGGGATGGCTGGGCCTTGCTCACACCTCTACCACCTTTCATACCATCACCATTCCACAGAATCGGACACATGGTTATCACCACAGGGAGAAGCTGTGCCGGGCATCTAGAGGGAACCATTGACTCAGACATTTGAAAATGGAGA